CCCTTCCTGATCTGCACTCAGTCAGTCTTGCATGCACTCTCTCTAGAGCTAGTCTGGTGCTTCTCCTTGGTGTTTTGGGTGTGGGATTCAGGTCTTCCTCAGAGGCTCTTTCCCCAGGTTTACCTCTGTGGGCCAGGCTTCCTTGGTCCCTTCCCAGTGCTGCTATGGGGGTATGCTGGGTCTTCCCCTCTGCCTTCTGCACAACCTCGGGATCACTGCCTGGCTGGGAGGGCCATAGGCCAAGTGGCTATTGCAGGAGAATTTCCCAAACAGTTTTTCTTTTTGAGAAATTCCTCATACTCAAGCCTTTCCCTCTGTACAGCCCAATTCTCCAGCCAGACTAGTGACTGTCGGGGTCAGTGCTCATCACTGTGCAACTCCCAACTCTCCCAAGCCAGTGACCACAGACTCTGCCTGTGATCACAGCCCCTGTGTGTTTGCCTCTTTGTCCTTATTCCCCTGTTTACGACTTCAAGCAACCAGATCTCTCCCAGTTCTGCTCAAATCCAGTTTGGCCAGGGAGGGAGGGAGCAGTTGACCCAGGTCTCTCCCAAGGACTCTGTGGCAGGCCCACCACTCCCAAGGAGTCTGTGGTAGACCCAGTGCCAGCACCAGGCCTGGAGCTCCAGCTGTCCTAGTCCCTGCGCTGGTCCCTGGGACCTCATTGTCCTGAGGCACTCTCCTTACTGTCTGGTTTTTCAGCGTACACTATAATTTTTGGCCTCTTGTTTTCATATATGCTGGGGTACTGTGGGCTGTTTGCTCTGTTCCTCCGTAGATGGGCCAGGTTTCTCTCCCACCTGTAGGGAGTGGAATCTGCTCCCTCCTACTCCATCTCCATCTTCCTTTTCTATTCGTAGTTTTGATCATCTTCTTTTCCTTAGATAAGTCCCTTTAACATTTCATATAAAAATGGCTTCATGATAATTAACTCCTTTAACTTGACCTTATCTAGGAGGAACTTTACTGCCTTTCCACTCTAAATGATGGCTTTGCTGGACAGAGTAATCTTGGATGTAGGTTCTTGCCTTTCAGGACTTCAAATACTTCTTCCCAGCCCCTTAGTGCCTATAAGGTCTCTTTTGAGAAATCATCTGATAGTCTTATGGGAACTCTTTCGTAGGTAACTCTCTCCTTTTGTCTTGCTGCTTTTAAGATTCTCTCCTTATCTTTAATCATGGGTAACTCAATTACGATATGCCTTGGTGTATGTTTCTCTGGGTCCAACTTCTGTGGGATTCTCTGAGCTTCCTGGCCTGCCTGGAAGTCTATTTCTTTCACCAGATTGGGAAAGTTCTCCTTCATTATTTTTTCAAATAAGTTTTCAATTTCTTGCTCTTCCTTTTCTCCTTCTGGCACCTCTATGATTTAGATGCTGAAACATTTAAAGTTGTCCCAGAGGTTCCTAAGCCTCTCCTCATTTTTTTGAATTCTTCTTTCTTCATCCTATTCTGGTTGAGTGTTTATTTCTTCCTTTGGTCCAAACCATTGATTTGAGTCCTGGTTTCCTTCCTGTCACTGTTGGTTCCTTCTGAATTTTCCTTTAAGACACTTTTCATAGCCTTCACTCTTTCCTATATTTTGCTACCATACTTAACTATTTCTGTAAGCATCCTGATTGCCAGTGTTTTGAACTGTGCATCTGATAGGTTGGCTATCCCTTCATTGCTTAGTTGTATTTTCTCTGGAGCTTTGATGTGTTCTTTCATTTGGACCATTATTTTTGTCTTGTCATGCCTGTTACATAGTAAGGGGCAGAACCTTAGGTATTTGCCAGGATGGGGCAACCCAAGTTGTTGCTTCATGGTGCTGTCTGTAGGTAGGGGTCTGAAAGGAAACAAGGCTGCTTGCTTAGCTCTCTACTGGCTTTCAGTCACTTCCCCCACTACCCACAAGCAAATTGGGCCCTTCTGGTACTGATTCCCAATGGGTGTGTTTGTGTATGTTCTGGAACCCTGTTGGTCTCTCCAAGAAACTCTCTGTGAGTCCGGGAGTATCTCCCACTGCCTCAACTCCCACAGGTTTTTTCAGTCAGAGATTTTGAGACTTTATTTCCCTACACTAGAACCCAGAGTTTCTCATCTGTCTCGCTCCCCAGCTGTTTCTCCTGGTTTATCTGCATGTAAATGTGTGACTGCCTGGTCCACCAGCTGCCACCTTGGTGGCAGACCACCTGGTTTGGAAGTTTCCACCTTGTTGTGCGTCTTCTCTACCAGGATTCCTATCTCTGCCCCTCCTACCTATCTGGATAAATGTTTCCTCTTTAACTCCTTGGTTGTCTGACTTCCATGCAGTTGGATTTTCTGTCAGTTCTGGTGGTTTTTGTTTTTAATGTTGTTATTGTCCTTTTGGTTGTGCAAGCAGGCACAGTGTTTCTACCTACACCTCCATCTTGGCCAGAAAATGTGCGATAACAACTTGATCATGAAAAGCTTGACATGAAGAAAACACCTGCTGGTGTTAATAAGATACATGAATTTCAGGCAAAAGAAAATTACCTCTATGCCTGTCTTGACAAAATACTAACAGAGTTCTCTATTTATTTCATTTTACTTAAAAGTTTATTTGAATTACTATGAAATCTTAACAGAAAATCATTTGGATTATGGGGTCCTGGCAGGTGAAGACTTTTAAAATATTGCTGAATCTTTACATGTATTAACAGATTTATTAAGGCAATATAAAAAATAGAATAAAAACATTTTTTTGTTGTAGATATTTATTACAAGCCAGAGTGATCTGAAAAGAAATTCAAAGATCTTAGTAGGCATGGCTGTTAGGGTCTTAGTGCGCATTAACTTCAACATATGCCCATTCCTTTTCTTTCAAGGTTCAGAGCCTTAATAGAAAATTGTTGAAAAATTTATCAATTGCCATTTTTTTATGTCCAAGAGAAAATACCATATTCACTGAACTTAGGGACCGCATTCTAGTCAGTGTTTTTTGTTTGCTCATCTGTTTGTTTACTATATACAGAATAAACTCTCTTATTAGACTGCTTTCTATTTCTAATGGACATGTTTACATATAATTTAGGAAGCAAAATTTTGGCCTCTTTCTTCCTAGTTATTTTCCACTTAAAAAAAATTATCTACACCAAAAAGTAGTTAATTTCCATGTGTAGTCAACATTTTTAAAAACATTTTATTTATTTATTTTTAGAGACAGGGGAAGGGAAGGAGAAAGAGAGGTGGAAAAAGATCAGTGTGTGAAAGAAACGTCAGTTGGTTCTCACATACCCCCATCTGGAGACCCCTGCCACAACCCAGGCACATGCCCTGAGTGGGAATCAAACCAAGGACCTTTCAGATTGTAGGCTGGCACTCAGTCCACTGAGCCACACCAGCTAGCATTTAGTTGACTGCAATGAAATGGTGCAAAGAAAATGTATATAATCAAAATCTACAGTACTGCAAAAATTTAATTTGATTCTCTACATTTAAATTTGCATTGAATCAAACTATTGGCCAGACCAACTGAAGATATTTTAATATTCATTCCTTTCACTCTTCCAGGATTTATCTAACTTAAAGCACATGAATACCACTTTACATTTTATAAGCATTTTCACATATATTTTCACTTTTGATCTTTCAAATAACCTTATAAAGCCCTGGCTGGTGTGCTTCAGTGGATTGAGTGCCAGCCTGCAAACAAAAGGGTGGCTGGTTCAATTCCCAGTCAGACAGATGCCTGGGTTTTGGTCCAGGTCCCTAGTAGGCATCCACACATTGATGTTTCTCTGCTTCTCTTTCTCCCTCCCTTCCCCTCTATTTAAAAATAAATAAGCAAACTCTTTTAAAAATAAATCCTTATAGGGAAGGGATATTATAGAATTATGAAAGCTTTTATTTTCTCTACTGTACATATGAATAAATTGGGGGTCAAGCATCATACTCATAAGTAAGTGCAGGTATTGGCTCTAAATAAAGTCTTGAATTTTAAGCTTTATTGAATTTGACGTGTTTCATTGAGAAAGCCTCTGATCTTTTTCACAATAACCCCCTCATCAGCCTTGTATCCTTACTGACTTATGTCCATGTCATTCTTTTCACTGTGATATTTGAATCGTTGTCTTCACTTCCCTCACTCCCATCATAAACCCCTTTCTGCAATGTTTCTGCTTTTCTTGAATATCCAATTGTACCCATTATTCAGGGTCTAGCAAAGCTGACACCTCCTCCAGGAAGTCTTCCAGCCCTCACCATTCTTATTTAATACAGCTTTTACAAAGATTGATTCTTACATTCTTAAGCCATTTCATTTATGTTTATCAAACTCTCCTACTAAACTATAAACCCCCCGAAACAGAGACCAAGTCTTACACTTCTTTGAAATTCACAGTGCCCTAGCTCTGGATATATATGTAGTAAATTCACAATAAGTATTTGGCAATTACTTAATCTGTCCAATAGAGCCATTGCTGAACTTACTAGTTTTGTATTCCAAACATGTGACTTATAATTTACCCTCTTTTTTATTACTTATTATAGTTGAGTGTATTGTGGTCTTATCAGCAGGGTCATATACAAAATGACCCTAGCATTTATTTTTAATGTCAGTGAAGACCAGGCATATGGCCTACAGGATCAATTCCACTACATAGGCCTGATGATTTCCCAGAATAGAGCAGACATTGACCCATATATTGGTACTGAGAACATGAACAGGAAACATTATGCAGTGATTGCTTTTCCAAAGAATTACATTAACATTCCCCATTTGTCTATTCTTAATTTCTCAGCAGATCAGGAATATCTATCGAAGTTAGCTCTGTGGCACAACATATGAACGTGCATTCTGCTATTTATTATAAATGATGCTGATAAAAAATATTGTCATTACAAATTTAATTTTAAGAAAGAAATCTCCATGTGAAAATGACACACTTAAGAGTCATTACATTAAAAAACAAAAAGTGGGTACTGTATGACGACTCAGTTCTTCTGGAATACAAGTATTCTCTTTAAACTAATAACTACTTTTATTCATATTTTAAGGAGAATTTGGAGAAGTCTGCAGTGGGCGTTTGAAGACACCAGGGAAAAGGGAGATCCCAGTTGCCATCAAAACTCTGAAAGGTGGCCACATGGATCGGCAAAGAAGAGATTTTCTAAGAGAAGCTAGTATCATGGGTCAGTTTGACCACCCAAATATTATTCGACTAGAAGGTGTTGTCACAAAAAGTAAGTACTGATTTCTTTAATTACTTATTTTGTATATTTATCTCAGTTCCTTTCATTTTGAAAGAAAAGCTTAATAGTAATACTATAGCCATTAAGGGGATAATTTAATTCAAATGTTATCTTCTGGTATCACTCCTCAGAGTCTTGATATTAGGCTATGACATTATCAGAGTTTGCACTGGTCACCACACAGCTTTGAAATGGTATTTACTACCTATAAATCATTTGCCAATTTAACTTGAAGTACTGAATCAAGTGTAAAGAGCTATTTATATTTTTCTCTCATTTGTATAAGCTATTCCTTTTTTCTAAAGCTGCCTAACTTTCAGTATTAGTAGAAGAAACACCTTAAGTATTTTGGGTCATTAAAGTAAAATACTTCTGTGTGGAAATAAATTGCATATGCAAATATGGAATGCTTTATCTGAAGTAAACTTTTAAACAAAAGGTTCTGTGTGGAACCTATCTTCATAAATACCATTATGACTAAGTTATTTTAATTGACATAAAGTAAAAATGGAAGTACAATTTCTGAAATAAGACATCTATTTTTAATAGAAATAGTGGGATGAAAGCCATTTCTTTGAAAAGAAGGTTTTTTAAATCCACAATTAATCATATTTTTAAGAAATATATTGCTATATATTCACTTTTATTTGAGTAATTCTAGGGCATAAAACCTATCTATATTTCTTCTTATTATATTCACTAATGAATATAACATATAAAACCTAATGTAGAATGGCATTTAAAAAACACAAAAAAACAATTGAAAACTTTGAGAGGCATTTTTCTTTCATAAAACTGAAATTTCTTTGAAAATCATTTATATGAAATTGAAATTTAATGTGAGATTTGGAGCAAAAAGGTATAAAAATTTACCGAATGCATAATTGACTGTGTGTCTGAAACACCTAAGGCCTTCTCACAGTGTCCAACGTGCTGCCCAGTGGGAGCAGATTACTGACAGCCGTGCTAGTCTGGAGGGCTCAGAGAGTTCATCGAGGACAGCTGTTGCAGTGGGCTATTACTTTAATTGCCTTAATGGGGCCTTCAGGTACTCATGCCCTTGTGTTTTTCTCTCCCCCATTGACTCTGGGTTTGTCCATGTGAATGGCCTTGGCCAGTGAGACAGTAACAAGTGTGGTACAATGGAGAGCATCTTACTCATTTGTATGTTGGAACTAGTCCTCTTTCAAAACTCCTTCCTGTAACCCAGAGGTCAATGCTAAGCAAAGCTAATCCACATGGCGAGGATATGTGCAGTACTGCAAAGAGGAGGAGAACTGAGGCTTTCCAGCTGGCAGCTCTATGTGAGCTCCCAGCAGAGTCAGCACCAAGTGCCGGCCTTATGATGAACCATCTCAGACAGTGCTCCCCTTCGCTGACCACCACCAGATGCTGCCTCTGCAGCTGACGTCTTGTGCAACAAAGAATCACCCCCCTCAGTTTAGTCAACCCATAAAATCATGAGAAATAATAAAATGGTTGTTTAAAGGCACTGAGTAGTTAATTATATAACCATGGCTAATCAAGCAGATGGACCCCTGTTAGAATGCTGCTCTAGCCATTTGTGTAAGTTTGGGTAAATTTTTTAATACCTCTATTCTTTACTCCACATCTGTAAAATAGGGACAAAGTAACTTCTACTCCATAGGAATGCTGTAAGGATTACATTTGTATTAAGTATATGAAGCATTTAGCAATAGTATGTGGCTCGCAGTAAGCCACTTTACCTGATAGGCCCTGTTGGCACGCCATGCGAGGCACTTTACACACATAGTTTGCCATTTCATTTTGCCAGCAGCTCTCCTGAGTGTCAGTGTCCACTGAATCTCAGTTTATTTAACCTTCTTAGGAAGTACCTCTAACTCATAGTGAGTAGCATGGCTGGTGTTCAAACTGAAGAAGAATAAATTACTTCTAAAATATAAAATTTACAAAGATTTAGCTCTGTCACAATGCCTACCAAAGATTATCATCTAAAAGAGAGAAAATACCAAAACATGTTAATCATTTCCTTTATACTTTCTGACTTCCTTGTTATTAATTTAGCATGAGTATTTCAAGTTATTTCTTTTGTTTTATATCTCTGTGGAAGAAAAAGATAAATTTAAAGCTGGGTTATGAATCTTTGCAAAGCATTTAAAATAACAATTTAAGTATGATGCTGAATTCCTCTTATGTGTATTTATGCATGAAATATCTGGAAATGAGTGTCCAACAATAAATTCAAAGCCTGAAAAGTATCATAAATTTATTTTCTCTCTTTGCTAAATCATATTATGTGACTTTTTCATGCATTCCTATGTGTTTTATTTACATGTTATAAAAACATGAAAGTATATGAAAAGAAAAAAGATTTATTATCCCTATGAAGTAGTAGGAATTCTTTATTCTAAATCAACTAAATAGGTTTAATAAGATTGCCTGTGGCACTTGCCTGCCAGTTTGAAATATTCATTTTATTTCACATAAACATGCAAACAACTAACACAGTCATTACTTTACATTTCTAACAATCTTATCCAAAAATGTCACCAGTGACCTCAACACAGCCAAAGTTATAATGATCCCAAAGTAAAGGTCCTTGTCCATTTCAAAAGAGAGAGAGAGAGAGGTGGAGGGGATAAAAAAATAAAAAATAATTGAGAAAGGATAGATTCAATATGCTTTTGAATGGCAATACCATAGTTTTAGTCTACAAGAGTGAGCTCCATATAAGGGTGTTGCATTGTTGCAGAGTGGAGATAGGGAAAGGAATAATTCCCACAGACATAAGTGAGCATATTTATACTGTTATCTTCTTGACTCCAGTACCATGGTATTTTAGGAGAAAGGCAATAAATAAATAAATGCCTCATTCCCATAAATACATGGTAATTATTCTAGGATTGCCCTTAAGTAGCTATGGGAGAGCTAGCAATTAATGCTCCCTAAGGGCTATCATACTGCACAGAACATAATGCTGACAAAGATAAACGTGTAATGCAGGTTTTTACAGTCGTGTTAGTAGAGTGCCCTGGGGCTCTGAGAAATAAATGCATAGACTCTCAGAGGAAACTAATGCAAAGTCATAGATCAAAATCTTCATCAGATCCTTTTATAAGTTTTTAATATGCATACTTTTATCTTATTGTATAGGTTTTACCTCAGGCACATATCACAAAGTTCTTTGGAAAACTTACTCTTTCATATTTTTTCATATAATCACTTTTATTTTAAACTTGAAAGTTACATAATTAAAAACTGTATTATGTAAAAAGTGTATCTGATAAAAGTTAAACCTGTTTATTTGATACACATCACAATTTCATTAACCTGTGAAGATACAACTGATATAAAAAAAAAAGATTAATCAAGCTAAATCCCATGCTTAGAAATACTTTTTTTCCAAGAACAAATAGAAACCATCAGTTAGAGAAGAGACTTATAGCCATTAGCAACATGGATAGTAGCAATTCATAACAGGTGATGTATACACTAGTCTCATGAACTACATAGCCATAAGAGAAACAGCTAACCTTCTGTAAAAATACACGAATTGTGGTTAAATTATGAAGAAATACAGTTCAGACACCACACTCCAGAAGAATGGGCTATGCAATTTGAAAAGATGATGGAAGAACCAGAAGGAGAGGTAATAAAGTGCCTGTATCCCAGATTCGAAGGTTATTACTAAATTTAGATAGTCTGACTCAAATATGTAAATTTAAGTTCAGTAAGAAGGAATAGAAGCCAGCCAAGACAGCAAACAAATTCCCAAACATAGCGTCATTTCATCACAGAACATTCCGGAAGACTCCATGGGATGTTACAGAAAGTGTAACACAAAGCGCTATGCCTGCTCAAAACCTTTAAAAGTACTTGGGAGGGAGGTGGGGAGCACTGGGGGGACGGGGTGGGATGGGAGTAGAAGACAGAAAACTGTACTTGAACAACAATTAAGTAAAAATACTAATAATAAAAATAAAAGTACTTCAAACTTTGTGGATCCCTTCTAGATGGTTTTGATGCCTCATGGATTTGAAGTCAGGGAGTCCATTCAGCCCAGTTAAGTACATTGTACATTAAATGTGCAACAACTTCCTCTCTGGTCCCAAGTTTACATTCTATTTGTCATTACTCCGTAGTGCATTACTCCACCAGCATGGCGCCTGCCTCTCCACTTGGTTGTCATTCCCTGCTACTAGGATGTGGACAAGTCACTCAGCATGTTTAGGCTTCAATGTTTTCCTCTGCATGAAGGATTAAAAAGTACATATAGGACTAGAAAACAATAAGAATCAAATCTATCTATAATATTTTAATATTTTATTCCTGGGCCAAAAGAAAAGAATCAAGATGTTCATAAGGAAAATTTGTGTCAGTGATAATCACCCACTTCCAGCTTCAGGCTCTTCATCTAGGAAGAGCAAGGCGGAGGGGTTCCGGCAGGCACAAAACGTGTCTCCTAATAAGGTTTTTGTTCTGAGCATCTGTAAAGGAGAAAGGGTAGGTAAAATTTTCCTGTAAGCAAAATCATTTTGTAGGGGGTAAAGTATTCTGCAAAACTGATTCTGATTAAATAAATTAGATGGTTGTTTTTCTTCTGGAATTCAGCTACCCTACTAGCTAAGGTTAGTTAAGAGTTTTGTTTCATTGTGTTCTCCAAGTAACATTTACTGAGCGTCTTCAGGTATTAGATACTATTGCTGATTAAAACCTAGAGATAACAGAAAAGAAGGCTTTGGCACCCCAAGAAGCTCATTCGTAGCAGACAGTCCCCTGGGAACATCAAACAAGTAAGCTACTATTTCCCAATACAGTGCGTGGCATGTGCTATATCGGATACAATTGCTCATTAATTTATTCATGTATTCATTCAGCGAATGTTTATTGGGTGCCCACTATTCTAGTCACTTGTAATTATGTATTAAAAAAAGAACTTCTGCTGCTGACTGGAGGCAAAAAAAAATAAGTCTAAATATTGGGTGGACAAAAGTAGGTTTACAGCTGTG